GAACTAGGGGGCTAGTGTAGACATACCAATGTAAATCCAGAGTGATTCTGCTTAAATGCTTTTGAAAGTAACTGACTTACGCCTGTATAACAGAGCAAAAATTAGCCTGGATTTGGCAGATTTGCAATCTTTACATACAACTTTTTTGCTATTAAGTTTCTAGACTCTTGTTCTGCTTCTGGACAGCAGTGAACAGGAAGAGGATTGACAACATACTATGTGCCTGATCCTGCTAACTCCCACACACCTCCTTAAAATTGCTGAGCACTCTCAGTGCTCATAAAAGCCAACAGGCAGTAAGGGCTCAGCCCTTGGCAGAATGAGATACAATGACCTCTGGAAGGTTTGTAATTTCTATTTAATGTGTTTTACATTTTAACCTTCTTTTAATTGCACTCTATTTTATTCTTCTGTATTGAAGGGCCAAAAATAACATGAAAACCAAGAAAATGAGGCAGTTTTGCAAAGTACTTCTCATTAACCACAATGATAAATTTCCTGGATTAAGGAAGAAAATTACTTAAATTAATATTCTCCCATTCTACAAATGGGAGACAAATAAAATATAACAGATACAAAAATGCAGTGTTGGTACAAAAAGGGTAATTTGCACTTGTAATTTGAAATGAAATTGTGTGCATTTGTTTTATCAACTGCATTACAATTACAATGAGTATTTGGGTCAAAAAATTTAATTGTTTCTTGAATGCTACCAAAGTTACTCGTGTATTTTAAATATCTTGGAAAGGGTTAGGTTCAGCTGATGATTCATTTCTTTCTGCTTCCTTTTTTCACCACTTAGTTCAAATATCCTTATGGTGTCAGTGTTTAAAGGAGGCAGGAGTTATAATTGTTTCCATTATTTAACAACTCAGTATTGTAACATGTATAATAGTGTAGCAATAAGATCTTTCAGAGCCTTTTACATGTTATTATGTAAGGCTGTGCTTGTGACAAGGGTCATGAGAGATTACTTGGTCTATTGAAGCCTCAGCTGCCATCGGATTACATTTTTAAAAATTTGCACCAGTTGATTTCTATTCTGTGAATTATCATGGACTAGATCTTCCAATTGTTATTCTTACAAGTAGGCCCAGTAATATCAATGGCTCAGATCAATCACCAACACTTGGATTTTAGATGGGCCCTGATCCGTTAGATGTGGTCAAAGTATCCTTTACCAGATCAGACCCAAGGCAAGATATCTTCGCCTGTTCTGATGATCATGCTGGGGCTTAGATGTGAGAGAGGCATCCAGATGTTTAAATGAGGCACTGTGTGCATGCCCAGAGGCAGAAAGTAGACATCTAGGGAATTTTTATCACAAAAACACAGGCACCAAGTGAGTGAAGGCACCAACATGATTATGCAGCAGCAGAGCATAGGTTTTGCAGATCTCGCCAATGCCTAAATTTGGGGTTTAGGCACCTAAATTCCTTTGTGGATGTGTACCAATGGGACTGCTTACATGAGTAGAAAACAGCAGCATTGCGCCTAAACTGGAGAACTTGTCTCATCTGTTCACTGGGAGTTACACATGAGGAAACAGCTATCAAACTAATAGTAATAAAATCCTCATGTTGGTTTCAAATCAGAACCCTTCAGAAGCAAAATAACTCATTCAACAGTGCATCTTTTTCAATAAGATTATTGCCACTTACAATGCTGCATGTGTATTTTCCAAAGGC